CACCTTTTCAACGTTTCTACACTGTTTTCCTCAAATTCTGATAATACTTCTATCTTACTATGTACTGTAAAGTTCTTCCTTCAGTTTGCTGAAGGATAAATGGGTAGCTTGGTGTTTCAAGATGTCATTCATCTAGGGGGCACCTACAGTAGGGTGGACAATCAGGTTTGAGGGTTTGTCCGGTGATATACAATAACAAAAGGCAACTAACTCTACTGCTTTTACCAATACCCTAATGCCACTTTATTAAGCAATTGCTCAAAGCTTTGATTTTTTTAGCTTTAGCCAAAATGACTGAATTCAAAAAGTTTGCCTGGGCTATTAACTAAACAATGATAACCTTTTATCATGCTTTGTATTTCTTTAACTCAAACAACACAGGGAAATATATATAATATATAAGGAATGTATTTTAGGTTAGCTATATAACCAGTGAAGCGAGTGTATCAAGGTTCTTCCCAGTTCGAATATTTCTGTTGTGACCATTGACTTTATTACACTATATGGTTCATTTAACATCCTAAATGATCAAATCATGCAAAGTATATTAGTCCACAAATGAAGTTAGGGTGAGGAATTGCAATAGAGTTCAATTAAACATATAAACAGAAATGCATGAAATACTTTGTGGAAAAGCAGAAGTTAGTGACATAGAGTTGGCCCCTGTATAGAAAGACTTATCAAAATACAGGTGTCCAATATTGTTCTGCTCTTGCACACAAAGTGTCCAAATGGAGAAAGATTTAACAGTTCTTCTAATGGCTAAATTAATACAAACCTCTAAATACCGATTATTACTTCATCCTATTTCATCAGTACTTTTTCTACTTTCCTGTTCCTTCTATTTCTTTAGCTCAAACCACAAATGGAAATGCCAGCACAACGGATGGAAATACCAGTCCAACAGGTAATTCCCATCACAGTGTGATTAACTAATAAATTGCATAATTTTCCTTCACTTCTTGGTGTTCAGAACTGATGAGAAATATATGTCCCCAAACTTTTCTTTCTGTCCATCTCAAATTTTGTCCATAGGTACAATTGAACATCCTAATAAAGGGGGAACATTTTTTATACCATTTGTAATGTAGTTTAAACTATCACAATACATCAAATATTTGGTAATTTATAAGTCTATTATAAAACTGTAATAACCCTTTTTCTTAACTAAGAAGCAATACCTAAATGCACAGAAACATACTTTATTGTATGTTACACCACTCTGCATTGTATGTTACACCAGTGGATTTAGAGGCTCAATATGCCACTCCCCTAAAGTTCGGGTATTGACTGGAAACCCCTGTAGAAGATAGGAGAAGCAGGACAATAACAGGTCTTCACAAGCTCCAAGGACATAGAAACCATACCAAACTGTTGTTGAAACCAATTCTTTTGAAAATCCTATTCACTTCTTTGTTAGTCCTTAGTTTAATAACAGGCAAGTTTCGCAAAAACAACTACAGTCCTGCTGTTTTGTTGATTTGGTTTTATGCTAAGAACCTCCCTTAGCTATTTGCAGAGTGAGCTCACTGGCATGTAGAAGGACAGAGATGTAGTGGTGTATGGTCTGAGTTGTGGCTGAAAACTGCTAAAGACTATCAGAGCCACAGTGAAGAAAGGAAAATAGATGAGGAAGTTTTCCCCCTTTCCCACAAAGTCAGTAAAGTTTAAATGACGAAGGTAAAGTTAAAATGTAAATAATACAGTAAATAAAAAGCTCAATTTTAGAGGATGACGGCTTAAAAAGGATACAAAACATCAAATTGTCAAGATGATGTCGGTGTAAACATATCTACTGATGTTTTCATTCTTCTATTTCAACTTCTGTTACAGTTTGACTTTACCATTTTATTGACTTGGTGAGGAAGAGGGGGAAAAAGCTCCTTCCCCAAGATTTTTTTCCTCTGTGGCTCTAACACTCTGTGATACCCCACCTAACATAAAACGATGTATCAGTAGCGGCAGTGAAGCAGCTTCACGTAGGTTCACTGCTGCAGCAGCAGGTTATTACAGGATTAAGAAAATGAATCAGATCCTCATCCTTGCCAGGAACTGTAAAAGTAACCCATGTCTATGATGAGATCAAACATGCCGACTCTAGATCATATAACAAAGTACCTGGGCTCTAAGTGGACCTCTTAAGAACCTCCTTAACCTCTCCATTTTCCCTAACCACCAGCACAGTGTTATGGAAGAATTATTCAAATACTGCTGTGGTTAATAGCTGTCTTTTTTCTGCCTCTTGATGTCTATAAGCTTTTAGGCATTATCCAGGTTCATGTTCATTTCTGCTTAATTTTTAATATGCAATGTCAGCTATTAAATCCTACTTTTTTATTTTAGTTTTTCAAATTTCAGTAAACTAACTTGTGCTTTGCTATTTCCTAGCTACAATGAATATTACAAGTGCCAATGGAACAGGTAATTTTAATAACACAACCACAGTTACTGTTTCCATTACTTTACTGCAATATGTCTATTTCAATCAATCTCATTAACTTTATGACCCTTATAAACAGGTTATTAGTAAATACTCCATCCCATGTTGTTCAGTTTAGCAATCTCTGTTTTAATTAGAATAGTTGTTTGTGTTTGGTAATATAACAAATAAAACTATATCAAGACTCGTTGTTGGTCTCATTAAATGATCAGAGATCAATATCCTTACCGTTTTCAAGCTTTCCACCATCTCTATCTGTTTTTCGAGATTTGTCTTCAGGTTCACTACTACATCCTGATAAGGGGGCCAAATTAGTTTCAATATTTTGCGATTTTGTAGTTCTAAACATCAGAATACACAATTTATTATTTTATTACAAAACAGGAATACCATTTATTGACTAAGAAGCAAGATCTTATTGCGCAAATGCATCCTTTTTTGAAATGTTGCGGTACGGTTTTCCCTAATCAGTTTTTAAATAATTAATTTGACCTATTCTATAGATAAACATGTTTGGTGTTATACTCTTGGACAAGAGATAAGAAAACCACATACCGTAGTAAGTTTATGTGGTGCTGCAAGAAAGCAAAATCTCCAGGATTCAAACCCAAACTAAGCCAGGGTTTTTCTATGATAACGTCCTTTTTGTTTATGTCCAGGCTTTCTGTTGTTCTTCTGCGTTCCAAAAGATGCATTTTAGGTTAGCTGTATAACCAGTGAAGCAAGTGTATCAAGGTTCTTCCCAGTTGAAATATTTCTGTTGTGACCATTGACTTAATTACAGTATATGGTTATTTAACATCCTACGTTATACAATCATGCAGAGTAACTTAGTCCACAAATGAAGTTGAGGGTGATGAATTGCAATGGTGATAAATTAACCATATAAACAGAAATGCATGAAATACTTTGTGGAAAAGGAGAAGTTAGTAACATAGAGTTGGCCCCTGTATAGAAAGACTTGTTAAAATACAGGTGTCCAATATTGACCTGCTCTTGCACACAAAGTGTCTGAATGGAGAAAGATTTAACATTTCGTCCAACGACTAAATAAAATGGGTTTATTTTTAAGGCAAATACGAACCACTAAAGACCGATTGTTACCTAATCCTAGTTCAACAGTACTTTTTTCTTCTTTTTCCTTCTTTGTATTTCTTTAGCTCAAACAGATGGAAATACCAGCACAACAAATGGAAATATCAGCCCAACAGGTAATTCCCATTACAGTGTGATTAACTGATAAGTGACATTATTTTCCGATGCTTGATGTTTAGTTAGTTTTCATCCTATTGGCCCCTCTTCCTTGTCTTTCACCATTTCAACTTTTCTACCATGTTTTAATCAGATTCTGATAATGCTTCTATCTTACTATGAACTGTAAAGTTCTTCCTTCAGTTTGCTGGATTTCTAACCTTCTGTGTAGATATATTATATATCACAACTGTTAAGAGTAACTTGGAGCTTCAACATGTCATTCATCTAGGGGGCACCTACAGTAGGGTGGGCAATCAGATATGAGGGTTTGTGCTGTGATATACAAGAACAAAAGGAAACTTCCTCTACTACTTTTGCCAATAACCTAATGCCACTTCATTAAGTAACTGCTCAAAGCTTTGGTTTTGTAGCTTTAGCCAAAATGAATTAACTTAAAAAGTTTGCCTGGGCTATTATTTTATAGATTTAACAATGATAACCTTTTATTGTGCTTTGTATTTCTTTTGTTCAAACAACACAGAGAAATAAAAGAAATAATTCCCATCACAGTGAAATTAACTGTTACGTGAAATGATTTTTTCCACCACTCATTGTTTGTCTTCTGAGATAAAAAGAAATAAAAATCCTTAAGATTCTCTACCTATCAATACCTATCTATTTCTCAAGTTTCTGTTCTGATAAAATACTACATCTATTTAAGGGAGTTAAAATATATTAAGTTCTACTAACGGCTAAATTAAAATGGGTTTTTAAAAGCCAAGAAAGCAAAATCTCCAGGATTCAAACCCAAACTTAGCCAGGGTTTTCCTATGATAACTTGCTTCTTGTTTATGTGCAGGCTTTCTGTTTTTCTTCTGCGTTCCGAGAAGTGTATTTTAGGATAGCTGTATAACTAGTCAAGCGAGTGTTTCGAGATTTTTCCCAGTTCAAATATTTCTGTTGTGACCATTGACTTTATTACACTATATGGTTCATTTAACATCCTAAGTTATCAAATCATGCAAAGTATATTAGTCCACAAATGAAGTTAAGGAGAGGAATTGCAATGGAGTTCAATTAAACATATAAACAGAAATGCATGAAATACTTTGTGGAAAAGCAGAAGTTACTAACATAGAGTTGACCCCAGTATTGAAAGACTTATCAAAATACAGGTGTCCAATATTGATCTGCTCTTGCACACAAAGTGTCTGAATGGAGAAAGATTTAACAGTTCTTCTAATGGCTAAATTAATACAAACCTCTAAATACAGATTATTACTTCATCCTATTTCATCAGTACTTTTTCTACTTTCCTGTTCCTTCTATTTCTTTAGCTCAAACCACAAATGGAAATGCCAGCACAACAGATGGAAATACCAGTCCAACAGGTAATTCCCATCACAGTGTGATTAACTAATAAATTGCATAATTTTCCTTCACTTCTTGGTGTTCAGAAATGATGAGAAATATATGTCCCCAAACTTTTCTTTCTATCCATCTCAAATTTGGTCTATAGGTACAATTGAACATCCTAATAAAGGGGGAACATTTTTTATATCATTTGTGATGTAGTTTAAACTATCACAACACATCAAATATTTGGTAATTTATAAGTCTATTATAAAACTGTAATAACCTTTTTTCTTAACTACGAACCAATACCTAAATGCACAGAAACATACTTTATTGTATGTTACACCACTATTTTCTCTGAGTGGATTTAGAGGCTCAATATGACACTCCTCTTTAAGTTTGGGTATTGACTGAAAACCCCTGTAGAAGATAGGAGAAGCAGGAAAATAACAGGTCTTCACAAGCTCCAAGGACATAGAGACCATACCAAACTGTTGTTGAAACCAATTGTTTTGAAAATCCTATTAGCTTCTTTGTTAGTCCTTAGTTCAATAACAGGCAAGTTTCACAAAAAACAACTACAGGCCTGCTGTTTTGTTGATTTGTTTTTATGCTAAGAACCTCCCTTAGCTATTTGCAGAGTGAGCTCACTGGCATGTAGAAGGACAGAGATGTAGTGGTGTATGGTCTGAGTTGTGGCTGAAAACTGCTAAAGACTATCAGAGCCACAGTGAAGAAAGGAAAATAGAAGAGGATTTTTCCCCCCTTTCCCACCAAGTCAGTAAAGTTTAAATGACGAAGGTTAAGTTAAAATGTAAATAATACAGTAAATAAAAAGCTCAATTTTAGAGGATGACGGCTTAAAAAGGATACAAAACATCAAATTGTCAAGATGATGTCGGTGTAAACATATCTACTGATGTTTTCATTCTTCTATTTCAACTTCTGTTACAGTTTGACTTTACCATTTTATTGACTTGGTGAGGAAGAGGGGAAAAGCTCCTTCCCCAAGATTTTTTTCCTCTGTGGCTCTAACACTCTGTGATACCCCACCTAACATAAAACGATGTATCAGTAGCGGCAGTGAAGCAGCTTCACGTAGGTTCACTGCTGCAGCAGCAGGTTATTACAGGATTAAGAAAATGAACCAGATCCTCATCCTTGCCAGGAACTGTAAAAGTAACCCATGTCTATGATGAGATCAAACATGCCGACTCTAGATCATATAACAAAGTACCTGGGCTCTAAGTGGACCTCTTAAGAACCTCCTTAACCTCTCCATTTTCCCTACCCACCAGCACAGTGTTATGGAAGAATTATTCAAATACTGCTGTGGTTAATAGCTGCCTTTTTTCTGCCTCTTGATGTCTTTAAGCATTTAGGCATTATCTAGGTTCATGTTCATTTCTGCTTTCATTTTTAATAAGCAATGTCAGCTATTAAATCCTACTTTTTTATTGTAGTTTTTCAAATTTCAGTAAACTAACTTGTGCTTTGCTATTTCCTAGCTACAATGAATATTACAAGTGCCAATGGAACAGGTTATTTTAATAACACAACCACAGTTACTGTTTCCATTACTTTACTGCAATATGTCTATTTCAATCAATCTCATTAACTTTATGACCCTTATAAACAGGTTATTAGTAAATACTCCATCCCATGTTGTTCAGTTTAGCAATCTCTGTTTTAATTAGAATAGTTGTTTGTGTTTGGTAATATAACAAATAAAACTATATCAAGACTCGTTGTTGGTCTCTTTAAATGATCAGAGATCAATATCCTTACCCTTTTCAAGCTTTCAACCATCTCTATATGTTTTTCGAGATTTGTCTTCAGGTTCACTACTACATCCTGATAAGGGGGCCAAATTAGTTTCAATATTTTGTGATTTTGTAGTTCTAAACATCAGAATACACAATTTATTATTTTATTACAAAACAGGAATACCATTTATTGACTAAGAAGCAAGATCTTATTGTGCAAATGCATCCTTTTTTTGAAATGTTGCGGTACGGTTTTCCCTAATCAGTTTTTAAATAATTAATTTGACCTATTCTATAGATAAACATGTTTGGTGTTATACTCTTGGACAAGAGATAAGAAAACCACATAGTAAGTTTATGTGGTGCTGCAAGAAAGCAAAATCTCCAGGATTCAAACCCAAACTAAGCCAGGGTTTTTCTATGATAACTTCCTTTTTGTTTATGAGCAGGCTTTCTGTTGTTCTTCTGCGTTTCAAAAGATGTATTTTAGGTTAGCTATATAACCAGTGAAGCGAGTGTATCAAGGTTCTTCCCAGTTAAAATATTTCTGTTGTGACCATTGACTTAATTACAGTATATGGTTATTTAACATCCTACGTTATACAATCATGCATAGTAAATTAGTCCGCAAATGAAGTTAAGGAGAGGAATTGCAAGGTTGATAAATTAAACATATAAACAGAAATGCATGAAATACTTTGTGGAAAAGCAGAAGTTAGTAACATAGAGTTGGCCCATGTGTAGAAAGACTTTTTAAAATACAGGTGTCCAATATTGACCTGCTCTTGCACACAAAGTGTCTGAATGGAGAAAGATTTAACAGTTCGTATAACGACTAAATAAAATGGGTTTATTTTTAAGGCAAATACGGACCACTAAAGACTGATTGTTACCTAATCCTAGTTCAACAGTACTTTTTTCTTCTTTTTCCTTCTTTGTATTTCTTTAGCTCAAACAGATGGAAATACCAGCACAACAAATGGAAATATCAGCCCAACAGGTAATTCCCATTACAGTGTGATTAACTGATAAGTCACATGATTTTCCAAGGCTTGATGTTTAGTTAGTTTTTATCCTATTGGCCCCTCTTCCTTGTCTTTCACCATTTCAACTTTTCTACCATCTTTTAATCAGATTCTGATAATGCTTCTATCTTACTATGAACTGTAAAGTTCTTCCTTCAGTTTGCTGGATTTCTAACCTTCTGTGTAGATATATTATATATCACAACTGTTAAGAGTAACTTGGAGCTTCAACATGTCATTCATCTAGGGGGCACCTACAGTAGGGTGGGCAATCAGATATGAGGGTTTGTGCGGTGATATACAAGAACAAAAGGGAACTTCGTCTAATACGTTTGCCAGTGGCTAATGCCACTTGATTAAGTAACCGCTCAAAGCTTTGGTTTTGTAGCTTTAGCCAAAATGAATGATTTCAAAAAGTTTGCCTGGGCTATTATTTTCTTGATTTAACAATGATAACCTTTTATCATGCTTTGTTTAACTCAACTAGCTTTCTTTTACTCAAACAACACAGGGAAATAAAATAAATAATTCCCATCACAGGGAAATTAACTGTTACGTGACATGATTATTTTCCACCAATCATTGTTTGTCTGCTGAGATAAAAATAAATAAATGTCCTTAAGATTCTCTAACTATCAATCTGCACAAAAGCCAAAATGTCCACGATTCACAAATGTACTGTTCTATACCAAATGCTATGTCCAACTGTGATAACTTCCTTTTTGTTTATGTGCTGGCTTTCTTTTTTTCTTCTGCGTTCGGAGAGGTGTATTTTAGGTTAGCTGTATAACCAGTGAAGCGAGTGCATCAAGGTTTTTCACAGTTCAAATATTTCTGTTGTGACCATTGACTTTATTACAGTATATGGTTCATTTAACATCCTAAGTTATCAAATCATTGCAAAGTAAATTAGTCCACAAATCAAGTTGAGGGTTAGAAAAGGCAATGGTGATAAATTAAGCATTTCAACAGAAATGTATGAAACACTTTACAGGAAATGCTGAAGTTAGTAACATAGAGTTGGCTAAATTAAAATGGGATTTTCTTTAGAGCCAAATAGAAACCTCTAAAGACCAATTGTTACTTCATCCTATTTCAACAGTACCCCTTTCAACTTTTTTCTTCTTTGTATTTCTTTAGTTCAAACAACAGTTGGAAATGCAAGCACAACAGGTAATTCCTATCACAGTGTGATTGACTGATAAGTCATATTATTTTTCAAGGCTTGTTGTCTAGTTACATAGAAGTTGCAGAGACAGCTGAGCACTTGGAGAGAGCAAGAGGCAATGTGAGTGCATCACTGTAGCAGAATCCAAGAGCGATGAAACTAAGTGTGCACAAAGTCATGCACGAACGCTGCCAGCAAAGAAGAGTCCGTGCACTTAAAATTACACAGCCCTGAAGATGGTGGTATATTCCTGCAGGCTGCAGCTCTTCCCAGCACTGCGTACCACACCTGAATATTTTATTGGTACCAACTACCCATCTGTTCCAGTTCACTTTCACCCCTGGGTATGGGTACATTAAAGTTAGAAGTAGAAACAGAATGGCAAGAAGAATTAACAAACGGCACCCTTTGGTGTCACAATATTTGATGGATCACAGAAAATAGTATAACATCAGAAGCTCTGGAGCTACAGGACTGCGATGAATGATAAAAGATTTACCAGTCCTTCTAAGGAGCAAATAAAAAGGACTTTTTTAAAAGCCATCCACAAACCTCTTAAGATGGTGCAACAGTGCGTTGAATGGAGGAGCTTGCCCTGCAACCAGAGGGTTGTTGGTTCAAGCCCCGGCACAGGCTTTCAGTATCGATGTGTCCTTGGGCAAGACACTTGTATTGCCTGCAACACTCTCTCATAACCTACCCCACATAAAACTTGGTAAAAATAGCGGAACCAGCTTCACACAGGTTCCCTGTAGCAGCAGCAGGTTATTACAGGATTAAGAAAATGAACCAGATCCACATCTTTGCCAGGTACTTTAAAAGTGTCCCATGTCTATGATAAGATAAAACACTTACTGACTGACTATGATGATGTGACAAAGTACCTGAGCTCTAAGTGGACCTCTCCATAACCTCCAGTTTATCTTCTTAGGATTTATCTTCAGTTTTGCTAAAGATAAATCCTCTCCATTCTCCTTACCGACCACCACAGTGTTATGGAAGAATCAGCCAAATACTGGGTTGGTTAAAAATATTTGCCTCTCGATGTCTGTCTATAAGCTTTTAGGCATTGTCTAGGTTCATGTTGATAAGTTATGTTTTCACTTTGCTTATGTGTGCAGCCTAAACCTCACTTTAACATACACTGCACTTAATGATCATTTTAATGTCGTCTATAACATACTGCATTTACTTCTGCAAATTTCATTTGACTAACTTGTGCTTTGCTATTTCCTAGCTCAAATGAATATTACAAGTGCCAATGCAACAGGTAATTTTAATAACACAACCACGGTTACTGTTTCCATGACCTTACTGCAACATGTCTATTTTAATCAATCTCATTAATTTTATGACTCTAATAAAACAGTTTTAAGTAAATAGGTCTTCAGTTTATTTATGTCCATTTCAATTAGAGTAGGAGTTTGTCTTTGGAAATATAACTGATAAAACACTAAGCTAATGTAATTTGTTTTGCATTTTTAAATATTCCTATGTGTAGTTGGTCCAGGGTGTTCAGCTCTACCAGTGCTCTGCTGCCCAGGTCACAATAACAGCTGCTTTAGAGTGGGGTGTTTCTGTGATGAGTACTGCATGATCGCTCGAGATTGCTGTTCCGACTTTGGTTTAACCTGTGCACAATGTAAGTGTAAACATAAAAACAACATATATTGACCATCATTTATGTTCTTGATGAAAGAGAAGTACATTCTTTTTGACTTTGTAGGTGTCATGTGCCAGAAAATATTCTGGTATTTGGAATATTTTAGAATAGATGCTCAAAAACGTTTCAATGATATAGCCCCCTGAGAGTAGATTTAGATTAGAATCTTGTCTGCCATTGATGAACAAAAACATGTTAGCCTTCTGTCCCACAATTCCCATCAGGTAAATAAAAACACAATTCCTTGTTACAATGCAAGTAGTCTTAAACTGAAATCTTTGATTTACTATTGATAAGTTTTATATAGGATTGTATAGTGGGTTCCGTTTTGCTGAAGATAATGCTGGACATTTTGGATAAATATTTCCCTTTTTGTTATGTCTTTCTAATAGGTATCGCTCCAGAAGTCTTTGTTAGACTCTACAAGGATATTTTTTCATGTCTTTTTTTTTTATCAGTATTTCTGTGTATTTCTGTCATCAGCTTTTAGTTTAACATGTCAACTTAAATGTATAGGTGATTACATGTATGCCTTGCAGTTTCCTGAGGCTTTTTTTAACAGATTGGCTGACTACAGTTAAATAAACTTTAAACTGTAGTCACTTATGCCATTTTTAGAATACTTCACGGTCTCTTAATTTTTGCCAAAATGGGTTTGTGGCACAGCTAACTCGATTTAATATGATTTCAACAAGGTTAAGTAGTGCATTTATTGGGCGTTTGGAACATTGTACCAGAAGCGCATTTGTGAGGTCAGATAATGATACTGAATAAAGAAGTCTTTCTTGCATTCACCACCAATTCATCTCATATGTGTCTGTCAAGTACTATAGTTGTTATACCACATTGTTATTTAATGAGCTTCTGAGATGGATTCATTCTTAACAAAACTCTTAGAAGCAGTCTGAATGATTAGTAGCTGAGATTTTGTATCTGTGGCCATAGAAGTGTTTGGAACAGCTAAAAATGTTGATAACACACAGTTAATATTTCATATTTTCATCTACAGTCCTCAATTCAACAAACAGCAGTACTACTTCTCCACCTCCGACTGCAACCACAGTAAATGGAACTGTAACGTCTAATAGGTTTAATACATCAACTTCCACATCTCCAGGTTGGTCCCTGACTGGTTAAACTGGTATTAATATAAGTATAGTGTCAGTAAATTGTTGCGGATGTTTATGAATGTCAAAAATATCTCTGGTATGAGTTATCTGTTTGACATGTCTTTGCCAGTTTCTTTTTGTATAAATAACAAAAATCTGCCTGATCAACCAAAGTGTGTAGAAGAGCAGGGAATCTATGGAGATGAAAAGTCAAAGCTTAAAGGTTGGTTCTCATGTTTGTTTCAGATTTTCAGCCTGTGACACTTCACCTAAAAGTCTCTCTATTAGCCCGTGATAGAGAAAACAAAGACAGGATTTCTGAAGCCTTATCTAACGTAAGTATAAAACCCTCTTTAAGTTGCATCTCACATTGTCAGTCATTGCCAAAACTAAACATTTCTTATAATAAACTAGTTTTTCCTCTCCCACAGTATTTATCTAGCATCCTTCTCCAGCAGAGCTGTGAAAACTGCATGACGATCAAAAAAATCAAATTCAACTAAGCTCACAGGAACAGACCAGTATAAAGTTAGCCATCAGAAGTTCTCTTAGCCTTTTGTATACATTTATCTTTTACTGGAGGCAGATTTTAATGTAACCTTTTAGGGGCTATCTTTTTTCTTTTCCAAAAACTGATACTTATCCTGTTTCTGTAAATCCAGACGGAAAATATACTACAATAAACTATTGAACAATTGTGGTTGTTTAATTGATTGTTGAAAAGATTTTTATTAGATAAATACCATAATAATAAGCGAGAATTATTTTTTGAAGCATTTCTTATTTTCTCCAAAGTCAGGTTGTATGTACATGCATACACCCACTCAGGGTTGAATTTGTCAAACATATTAAACAAACCCCAACATGGCTGCCACTCCCCAAATGCAGAACACGTGCTGTTCGTCAGGCCTCATCCACCAACGGGGGGATGCGCTCCACCGTGAAGCGGAGAGAAACGAGATCACCTGTAATCTGACAGTGCAGCACTTGACATCTGACCAACCAGATGGTGGCTGCACTGCAGGCAGGCTCTTTCTATCAGAGCTACAGAAGATGAGATATCAATGTGTGACCTTTCCAAGCGACATCATGAAGCTGGCACGAGCAAGAGAGAAAAAAACACGAGGAAACTCATGCTTCCCTTAAAGATGGGCATGTTCTTAAGATAAAACTTTGTGATACTAACAAGTAAGTTATCAATCATTAGATGGGGAATCTATATTTGCAGTCTGTCTGGACTGGAGAATTTTACTGATTAACAATTATTGATTGCTGTTTCAATCCCTTATGCATTCACCTCTGGTGAAAAAGTGGTTAAAAAGTTAAAAAGTGAAATGAACGTAACTGATTCATTTGTTGACAGAGGAAACTAAACTTTAATGTATATTTTAAAATTGGTCTGTATGATATTTAATGATATTTTCTTAGGCTTGTAGTATATGCATGGTAATGCAAAAACAATGATAATTATAACAAAATATAAAATATAGTAATAGTATTTTTTGTGAATTTTAGTAAAAGTAGCAGTAGTAGTACTAACAGGCCATCAGTGTTGGTGCAAATAATAGTACTATTAGTTGAAGTAATGTATTATAGATTCAGATTGTAAAGATTAGAAAAAAATAAGTTGGAAATATCAGAGATGATACTGAGAAACATTCAATGCTGGACTATTGTAATTCTTTACTATCAGTAAGTCCATAAACTATAGTTAAAAACATTCAGCTGATCCAAAATGGAGCAGCCAGAGTTCTGATGAAAATTAAGAGATATATCTCTCCTGCTCTTCTCTTCATTTGCTTCCTGTTATATCCAGAATATAATTTAAAATCCTCCTTAACACATATAAAGTTTTAAATAACCAAGCTCCATTTGTATCAGAGACATGGGCGTAGGTTTGCATAGGGACCATAGGGACATGTCCCTACCAAAGTTTTGAACCGACCTAATTGTCCCGACCAAAAATTGGATGTGAACAACATGTTTATAATTTACAGCAGTAGTTATAGCAGCAGAGGCTTCTTTTCCTCTCGCAACTCCTCTGCCTGCTCTCTCCTGTCCCTTTCACGTAGCAGCGCATGGAACTAGGGGTGGGTATTGCCAAAGAAGTCACGATTCGATTCGAATCACGATTCACAGGCCACGATGCGATTCTATCACGATGCATCACGATACTTGAATTATTGCGATGCATTTCAATATTTTCTCCTCCATGTTTTGTTTTTGAATGACTCGGCGCAGTATCCCACGGCCGGAAATGCTTGTGACACAAGGCAGCGTGCGTCAACACATTTGCAGCGACATCTACTGGACTGGAAGTGGTATTGCACTTGTTTTTGGCTGATGTTCGCCAACCATTCATGCAATTTTATTTATTCATTTTTTAAAATTAATAATCGATTCTTGGCATCAAGAATCGATGCAGTAGATCACGAAAATTAGAATCACGATGCATCATCATCACGATTATTTTGCACACCCCTACATGGAACTGTGCTGCGCTGTTTAACTCTACTCTCATTGGTTGTTCTGCCTTAGGTTCCGCCTTCTCTCTCTCTGATTGGCTGTTTTCTAGTCCGCCTGTGCTTGGAGCACAACATTGAAAATTTATTCACACTAGAATGCTGCGGTTACTACAATAAATATTAGGCTACAAAACTAGTCCCAATAAAAAAAAAAAAAAAGAAAGAAATTAATATCATGTACACTAAAAAACAAAAAACTTTTTTTTTCTTTTATAAAACGAAATATTCTGAGTCAGCCAGGAGTTCTGAAGACTGCTGGAAAAATGGGCAAATAAAGGCATTAAGCCATCAACATTTCTGATTCTTAGCCACAGCCACCTAAAAAAGAAAATGTGAGGGTTTCCTTTTTATCAATATTTAGTTGCTATTACTGTTTTCATTTTTTGATGACTCTTTGAGGAAGTTCAGGCATAATTATTAGCAGGTGTTATTTTTCTTATAAAGTATAACAACAAGAAATGGCATCTAAACATCTGTTATTTTTCGTTTAAAAAGCATAATTAGGGTTCCACATAATAATAGTAATTTAATTGACTATTTATACTTCTAGAAATAGGATAAGGCAAGAACAAACAGAGGAAGAATATAAACATTGATTTTATCTTGCATAGATTTCCACACAGTCTATAAGTAAATTAGTACAAACATTAATGTCTGGTAAAAATGCTTGAATCAGGCTGTTTATTTTGGATATTATCAAATTACAGATAAGATAGTGTTATATTGTCTTTTATAATTGTTAAAAGTGATTTTATATTTTAATACACTTAGGCTCATTCTCAGTGTTGTGTTTGTAGATGATGTCACAAAAAAATTAAATAGATATAAGGAGCTATTTAAACAGTCAGACAGTAGCAATATAGGATGATGATGAAAGGTTGTGTTACATTTAATCCTTTACTATTAAAAAACGCACTTATACATTATATGATTATAGGAAACACAGATATCCAGTAATATAAAAGCTGAGCAGCTTGTAGGTGAAGCAGCTGGCCCTTCAGTGCTTCAGGTGATGTCTAAATAAACCAGGTGAAACTAAAATATTTCCACTTGAGGAGTTCTGGGTGGAGAATATTGACAGACAAAAACATTTTTATAATCTTATATATATATATATATATATATATATATATATATATATATATATATATATATATATATATATATATATACATTAAATCCTCAAATTTCTATTCTATTAAAATTTCTGTATCTGTATAATGGGTCTGTTCTATATGTTGTCTTCTCAATTCAGACGGCCCCATGCCTGTCTTTGCCTAGGGCCCCAAATTTCCTAAATCCGCCCCTGTGTAGTGGAATTTGTCTAGTTTTGAAGTTCGTTTTTCTCATGATTCAACCTGTAACAACCTAAACCATTTGGCTTGGCATAAATACGGATTCAAGTAGCCTACTGTAGCCTACACATTTCTGAAAGACCCCCAACAATTCCAGGAAAAGTCGGAACAGTCGATTTAATTATAAATAAATAAATGCCAGTCGATTCCCCCTGCCTCCCGTCTTATGACATTGGCACCTCTCTTCACGCTATTCTCACTGACCGTCTCCACTCTTTTTTCCACGGCGACATCGAACAGACAACCAAAAAAATGCAAGGTGATGAACAGTTTTACGGTGGCTGGGAAGTGCAAATCAACAATACAAAATCTGAAACACTTTTAAAAATCTTGAAACAACTTTACATTTGAGAAAACAAATTTACAACAAACGAAACACTTTTACAAATCATAAAACAACTTTACATTTGAGATAACAAATTTACAACAAACGAAACAGTTTTACAAATCATAAAACAAATTTACATTTCAGAAAACAAAATTACAACAAACGAAACACTTTTACAAATCATAAAACAAATTTACATTTCAGAAAACAAAATTACAACAAACGAAACACTTTTACAAATCATGAAACAAATTTACATTTCATAAAACAAAATTACAACAAACGAAACACTTTTACAAATCATAAAACAAATTTACATTTCAGAAAACAAAATTACAACAAACGAAACACTTTTACAAATCATAAAACAAATTTACATTTCAGAAAACAAAATTACAACAAACGAAACACTTTTACAAATCATAAAACAAATTTACATTTCAGAAAACAAAATTACAACAAACGAAATACTTTTACAAATCATAAAACAAATTTACATTTCAGAAAACAAAATTACAACAAACGAAACACTTTTACAAATCATAAAACAAATTTACATTTCAGAAAACACTTTTACAACTGACAAAATCTGACGGAAAGGGAGGGACTGTCTTCGAAGCTTACCCGGAAGTGATAACCGGAGAGTTCATGCAGGATGGAAGCTAATCGAGTTGCGTTTTGCCCGTTCTGCGGCACTCATATGAGCAGTTTAACGCGGTTTTGTTTTTCCTGTGGTCGGTCCTTGGAGTTTTTAAATGGTACAGAACAGACGGTAGAACCAGATATGCTGCAGCTGTGCATATATTATTTTATTGAGTGTCACTCGTACGTTGTAATCGTAGACATAATGCCATGTTTACATGGTGTACACATCAGCTTCAGGTCTCTGAAAAGCAAACTGAATGATGCCGGTCTTGTGCGAGATTCTGTTTCCCTGTGAAAATCTGTTCCCCCTGTTTCGGGAGCGCTCATTGCAGCCAGAGAGGCGGATCTGACCATTTTCAAGGCGCTCCTGATCATTTATCAGTGAAAACAGCTCATATAATCATGTCAACTTTGTAACATACAGTTTAATCGTTTACTCTTTTTACAAATTTGTAAAATAAATACATTAACGAGGTCTTCTTAAGCTGTTTTGTGTTGTTTTTTTTAAACGCCAAGAGAATCGGCATTTCTCCAACTTTTGTCCCTTCAGCCTGACAGAAAAAAAACGGCAGTCACCAAACAGATTTCCAACACGTAGTGTGTTTTCTATTTTTCATTGCTGATATAAGAGGATGGAAACTGGCTGATAGCAGGGAACACACATTAGAATTTCTGGTTAATCCCCTTCTAATGTAAAATACTGAAATAATCCGGTCCCCCCTTTGATTTTTGCAAATAAATAGTAAATATGACCAAATCCACAGGATTTGTTGTTGATGGTGCAAGGAATAAGCACAGTTAAAGACCTGCAGGTACATTTACTTCTTCCCATGTTATGGAGGGGAACAGATTATTT